TATATTTCTGTATTTGTATAAATATTATACTGTGTGTAATAAACCTAATTCAAACATTCTCAAAGTTTATGAGAAGTGACAAGAATCAACTTCTTATTGACGTGTTTATGCATGTTTATGCAATTGTGTCTTTACATATTAAAAAAAAAAACATTTCCAAAAAGTCTGTCCTTTATTGGATTTTGCAAACCATCAGTAGAATGGCCCTTTCCGTCTATGTGACCTAGTAATGTTTTCATTAACAATTTAGGCTAGAGGCAAAACTATTGTACTAGTAAGAGAAATATTTTCACCCCTAATTAATATTATTAAATGGGTTGGGTTAATTGGGTTAATGTAGTGTCATAAGAACATAAGAAGTGGTGGTGTCTCTTGAAGGAGAGAATGGATGTCAGTTACAAGGCTTTGAAGGGCTGTTCATTATACACATGGGGTTTTATGCAAGGAAACATTTCCTATCGTCCATCTTTAATGAATTCCCTCTTCAGTTTGCAATTGCTACCACGTGTCCTTGTTTCAGTACCGAGACCAAACAGCCCCAGGAGCTGACCTTATCTCTACCCCTCAGGATTTTACGTGTTTGGATCAAATCTCCTCTCAGTCGCCACATAATGAGCTGAACATTTAACAGCTCATTAGCTGTCTATATACTGTATGACATTCCCCTGAGACCAGTCATTTTTCTTGTTGCTCCTCTTTTAACTCTTTATGCTATAATATTGGTTATGTGGTAGATATTGACCGAAACTGAAAAAATACATTCTAAATAAGGTCATAGTGTGTTATGAATCTTGATCTTACAGGACCTTCCATGTTTTTAAATACAGTACCCTGCTATACTGTACATCCAAGAATTCTGTTTCCTTTTTATATGGCTTACCCACACTGTGGGGACACACAGTACACTAATCTACATCTTTTACATGTGTAGCTTCCAGCATCTTAGAATCACCCAAGTGAGTTGTACAATCCACATTACTTCTTCTTGTCTGGATTACTTTGGACCTAAATTTAATTTGAAAAGTGTCTGCCCAGTCCATGGTTTTCAGTGAGTTTTCATTAATTCCCTTGCCGTTTACTACAGTATGTTTATCAATCCCCTTACTGTATGTTTGCATAATCGGCAACATAGACTAGTTTTCTGTTTGTGCAAGAATGTAAATCCTTGCAGAAGATCAATAAAGAACAACAGGCCTGAAACACAGGCCTGTGAAACTACCTGATTGGAGGATATGCCTCTTAAAATAATGTTCTCTATGCTATAATCAGTTCTTATTCCATCCATTTTATAGTATATATAAATGTAGATTATTTTGACATTTAATTTGAGATTTAATCTTTTCTGAGCAATCTTATAAAAATATTTATGGAGATCTAAATATACAGTATCATGTCCGGTAGTGTTATAGTGCTAAGAAAGAAAATAACAGGTTTAGTAGCTGTTGTCAGAGAATGATAGCAACAGTTTTAGAAATATAGTTAAATGTTTTAAAGTTGCTAGATATCAAGCAAATAATATTCCACATTTTCAGTGTTTTGGGCACAACATCTCTAACTTTTGGTATGCTTTTGTTGCACTGTTTTTTAATTTACTGTAAGTTAAAAGTCAATTAAATAAAGCACCTCGTCACCTCGTCACCAGCAATGAAAATTCATCTACACTGTGAAAAGTCCTTCTAGGAGACAAATAAAAAGATCCCTGTCAGCTGGTGGGTTTGCTTGGGCCTCGGTATGTGTTCATGAATACTATTTTTGTTATCCTCCCATTTTGTGATTAGAACATTAGACTTTAGATGTTAGGAAGATGGAAAGCTTAGATGTTCTGCGTATTTTTTAACAACATAAAAAAAACATTCAATACATGTAGAACAAAAATACATTCAGATACCATGTCCCTGTGTCATGCCATGGGCATCATACTTTTTATTAATTACACATCCAAAACAATAAATAACAACAAATAATATAAAAAAATAAAAACATTTCTAGAAATTTTCAAGATCAGGATAAATGAAATTGTTCTTGTAAAGCTTGTATGCAAGAAGCTGTCCTCCAAAAATCATTACTAACAAGCCAGCACCTAAAAAATGGAAAATACAAAAAAAAAATTAGCAAAACACATTTAAAATACATACAGTGCATGTGATCATTGCTAAATAATGGGTGTCTCATTTGGAAAAGTTTTTTTTTCAGTTCTGGTCAATCGACAGTCACTGTGAAGGATGATAACACCATTCTCCTTTAGGCAAAGTATAAATCCACAGTGACTCTGCTTATTGGTCCTCCTCCTTCCAGCAGCTTCAGTAATGTTTTGTTGTACTTGTCTCTTCTGACAAATTGATCTGATTTGGAGTTAACGATCCACCAAAGTTCTTGTTTAAGTAGTATCGGTCACTCATACTTCATCATTGGCCATTTCTTTTCATGTTTTATGTCGACCTTATCTTTTTTGGCAAGATTTGAAAAGTTAAACAACAAGTTAAGTTGTTTAAAACAACTATCCATTCTGTACCATGTACAGTACGTGAACCAGAGGTTTCATACTATCTGAGGTACACAAAACTTTTAATAATAATAATAATTTTGGCACACGTCTGTCATTTATTGTGCATTTTACAGAACTGCCATGGGAGAGAAATGGGCTGTCAAGACTCCCTGAGTACAGTAACGTGGTACTGTATATACACAATAGCACAAGAGTGTCACATGAACTAAGACTGTATAGTGACATACAACTCCCCTCCAGAAAACTGAAAAACGCAACTCTTCCAGTAGTGGAGACCAGACTCTAGCTGACCAGAGAGGAGGACCCATGGGCACTGAAGCCGCATCATCCAGCAGAAATGGAATCGGCTTCAGTGGCAGGTCATGTAGGTGCTGCCACCTCGTGGAGGTGACCGGAGTGCCATCGTGACCTGTCAGAGAGGCTGAGGGTAGCTGGGCCCAGTTGCTCTGTGACCTGCATGGCGGAAGACTAAAATAACTAGAGCTTGTGCTCTCCAAGATAGCATGCAAAGTAGTTTTACCCTGTGTGATCTATCATAATGTGTCTTCATCCATTGCTGGCTTTCTGCCACTATGCTGAGGGAGTGCGTGGCAGAAGATGTAGTTCATGTCCTAGAATTAGGGCGGCTTGTGGGCTGCCAGGCATGGCATGCTGTGTGGCCCTGTAGTGGGGCAGGGCGAGGAGGAGAGTGGTTGAGAAGCCAAAGAGGACTGAAACTCAGCAGAAACAAACTGCGGCCCACTGTCGGTGGTGATGGTGGTTCGATGGTGGTTCCCCAGCAGGCAGAGAGGGAATCCAGGAAGTCAGTGACCACCTGAGTGGTAACGGATCTATTGGAGGCCGCTTCAGGCCATTAGGAGTGTAAATCATAAAACATTATGAGGAAACACTGATGGAGTGGGGCACTGTTTAGCTCCCCACAGATGTCCAGCTGGAGATTATCCCAGGGCTTGGTCTGCCCGCTTAGGGGCTGGAGAGGTAGTATAGCCTCCTGTTTTTCCACTTAGGAGGCAGATTTCACAGTTCCTGATGAGTGATTCGATGTCTCTGTTAATTTCTGGCCATCACACCAGATCCCGGCACCATTGTTTGAAATTCGCTATTCCCAAATGGCCGTCGTGTGCCAACTTTAACATTCGCACCTGAAGGCAGGCAGGAATAACAGCTACATTCCTCTGAGCAACACAGGAATTCATTCCCGGAGAGCTCATCTTTAACACAATGGGGCTTAGCTCAGCAGGGACTTTGAGGGGCCTTCCCAAGCATATGAAGATGAGAACCTAAGAAAGCAATGGGTCCTGGTCTGAGAGCTGATGAAGCTCCTGGAGAGAGACTACGACTTTGAGTGGGATATGGAGCATTTGGATGAGGTTAGGCTCAAAGGTGTCTGGGTCAGAGTTGCCAGTCATGTTGGGAATGAGAGGGATTGAACTTCTGCCACTACATTGTGGCATCCAGGAGTGAACTGCAGGGAAAAATTGTACTGGTGATCCCTGTGAACCAGGGGTGGTGATTTAGTGGCCAGTGGCTCATGGATGA